TGTCTAAAACAGTTATTTTTCTTTTTTTTTTGATCAGACAATGAGAGAAAACATAATTCTGTCTTTCTATACAGTGTATGTAAACATTTGGTTTTAAGTATGCATGTGACACAAAAATAATTTACTCTGAGTAATATTTGGTCGTTTCATTGAAAAGATATGAAACTGCACTGAAGGAAGCTGATTCCTCATAAACATGGTGGTGGTGTACCGAGTGCTTTCTCTATTGGAACCAAAAAGTGCAGCAAAGTCAGCGGTTTTCTTTGCAGAAAAGTATTCACATGAGAGTGTTAAACATCACCAAGTAGTAATTGTAGCTGGTGCTGCAACAGCAGAAACTGCTACTATTACAACTGCCTCTTTTACTAGTCATAGAACATAATGTATTTGTGGAGAAATCAGAGCCAATCACAGCAAAGGCAATAAACACTATAGTTGTGACTGAAACCACAGACTTACTGCTATGCTTATTTTGAGTCTGATTGTGGCAGCTTCACTATGGTGACACTTAAGTTAAATTGTGCCAGTTAAAAATGGGGTATGGTTTGCAGAATGTCAACCAAAGTTGGGTTTTTGTAATTTAAACCAAGTGTTCTCAGTGAATAATTTTGGCATCAGATTGATGGAAATATATTATGTAATACCTAATTTCATAGTCATAAATGTGTACTCACTTTAGCCTATTGCAGGACCATGGGATACAGAATGGGCTATACATATTTCTCTTGTTTATTCCAATCAAATAGGAACAACAACTGCAGGCATCTCTAATTTTTTCTAACATTTTCTGCTTTACAGTTATATGACTTTAATTTCTGTGTTTAGGACTTTCATTTAAACGAAAGAAAATTGCCCCATGCCACCTGACCACATTTGAACTGCCTTTCATTTCCCAAGAGAAACACAGACGGGAAACAATAAAATGTGAGGATAGCCACCAACAAATGCTTGTCTAAACTGAATGTGGTCACATCCAAATTTAGGCCTAGTGGTCAGAGAGAACAATCTGAGCCAACTGACTTTCATACAATGGTACTGAGAATCTCAAACAAATGTTTAGGAGATCTCTCAATTGACTTGCAGAATGACAAGTCAGATTTGTGAGTCAGGTAGAGGGCAGGACAAAAATACTTTGCAAAATAAAACTGTGGAAAACAACCCCAACATATTCCTTTTTTACATTTCTGTGCAATGTTTATGTTTCCAAAAGAATGAAAGTATTTTTAACATGTCTCCTGTAATCTTTATCTATTTATTGAACAATTTAGCATAGTTTCTGGTCATTTTATTTCTGGTATTGTTTTTAAATGTGTGTACTTTGCTAGGTTTGGTTATCACTTTGCTGCTAAGATAGTGAGGAACATATTTCTTTAGAAATAGAGCATGGTTTTCTTTCAGTGCTATGAAGCACCTTGTTTAATGACCTTGCTTCCCCTGTTAGATTACTGTCATGTTGTTTATATGAAGGCACCTATCACCTGTCTACATATGTTGGATACTGTCTGTAATGGTGCATTAGGGTTCGTTACGGGATGTAACTCTTTCACTCTCTTCTGTAATTTATATTTTCAGGTGAGCTGGCCATAATTATCAGTTTCATGCATTGACTCAAGCATTGGTACATTATTTCTATAAAACTATTCTTGGATTGTTTCCACCTTACTTTCCTCATACTTTTCGCTCTGAAAGTCCAATCAAGAAATATTCTAGTACTATGGTCAGAACTCGGGGAGGGGGAAATGAAGTGTTTACAACCTGAACTCTCCAGGAGTTTGAAACTGTCCACTTTGTCCTTTTGGACAATTCAAATTTATTTTAAGACAAAACGAGAAATCTTTTGAACCTTGTTTTTGTTTTTAGCTAATAGTTTATTAGCTTATTTAATTCAGTCAGTTAAATTCCTTAGTTAGTTAGCTGCTGTGTTTTTGTTTGTTTTTTCAAAACTTGTCTCTCTGATCTCGGATCTCAATGAGACAACCTGTAAAAATAAAGGTCAAATAAAATATATAAATGACTTTCTATTCTACTCTGACTATTTTATTCGGTTCCATCCATTTCTCCATCAGTTTTGAGTAGCAGTCTTGAAAAGTCTCCCAGCAATATAATTTTGCCAGTGGGCATGGTGCATTCAGGATAATGGGCAGTGTTAGTTTCCACCACACATAGTACTTTAAAAAGAGTTTAGAAAGTTGTATACAATTACATGCTACTTGTGTGTTGGACTATCACATAAAATTCCTAAAAAAAATACATTAAAGTTTTTGGTTGTACCAAGAGACAATGTGAAAACTTTGAAGTAATCTGACTAGTTTGGCAAAGCCTTTGCTCCCCCCTGGAAAATAAGGTGTATCCCAGTTTTCCAGAGCATTTTACAGAGTTATCATTGAACTGAAAGATGTCTCTGATGACACCGTCAGCTTGTGTGTGTCTGAACAGGTGTAAATACAGGTGTTTCAGCAAGGCCACCCAGCAGTGTTATACTTTATGCCTCATTCTTCAACTGCAGAGAGCAGAAGTTGTTGTCGGAACCTGCTATGTCTTGTTTGTTTCCCCTGTGTCTAAGCGGAAGAAAATCTAAATCTTTAACGTAACAACATGTCCTTCCTTCAGAAGTACATGTTTGAAGTAAAATCCATGGAGAGACGGGGAAGTGCTCCAGGCCAAGAGCCAAATGGATCCAGATGTCAGTATGTTCACAAGGTGGAGACATCTTGTACAGTAGTTGTCATTCCTTGTTTAAAAAGTTTAATGGTGTTTTTCTTCTATTTTCCTGGCTTTCTTTGTCTCTGACTTTTTTTTTTTTTTTCATTTTTCACATATGTGGCACTCTCTTCGATAAAACAGTTGAAACAGAATAGCTGAGGACGGAAATAAAATGAAACAAGCATCTGGAGCTTACATGTTCTTAGTCCTGTTTGACCATTTTCTGATGTGTTGTAACAACAGACATTCACCCTTGCAGCCTTGACCTTCAGACATAGTAGCATACTTAACGCTCCTAAAGACACCATGGGGCATTAAGAGACATGAAGGTTGGATGAAAATATCTTTTTAACATTTTGGTATTTTTTTATTTATTTATTGTCAATCTTCACCTTCTCTATATCTGGTGTTTTTATCCCTTTCAACTTCTCTGAGTGACCTATATTCCATACTGCTCTTTTTCTGTCCACCTGGATTTGCTTTATATCTGTCCCTAGCCTTCACAATTTTCAATTACCATCTCATGTTTTTTTGAGCGCAAACTTCCTTGGTGTTTTCTGGAGCTTTACACATAAGTTGTACCTTTTGCTGGCGATTGGGGAGTCCCTAAGTGTCACAGATAGTACTCCTATTAGTGCAGCTGTTCATGGGGACATGACTGTTGTTATCCTTCTGTCTGTGACCTAGGAGGGGCAGGGCACATGCAAAAAACACAAAAGCATTAACACGTGCATGCCCGCACACACAGACACACACACTTGCTAACAAGCTCTTAGCTGAAGTAGAATCTACACTGGAATGACTCTCTCATGAATGAATGTAACATATGGCAATCTTAAAAATTCAAGAGCACATCAATAATCCTTTTAAGTTTGCTGTTGCATGTATCATTGAGAGTCAGTGCAGGTATATTCTTATTTTAGAAATACATGAGTGAATGTAGCCTTGTTTTTGATACAGGCTAAAGACAATTATTTTTCCAACAAATACTATGTTGTGATGACCTACTGTTACTTTTGGACCCAAAGCCCAGGTTCAAAGAGGTGCTGTTTTTAGATTAGAGTTTAGGTTTAGGAGTAGGATATGAATTGAGTTAAGATTAGGTTTAGGATTACGCACGTATTGGTAAAGGTTAGGTTAACCTAACCTAAGTGACTGGTTTAAGCTATAGAAATGTATAAAAAATCAATAAAAAGTCAATGCAAAGTTCTAGTGAAAATAAAAGGACAATCTGTGGATGTGTGTTCATGCGTATGTGTGTGTGTGTCGGGGTGTGTGCATGTAGGTGTGTGTTCATAGTGTCGAATATTGTGTGTGTCCTGGCACCCGAGTTCTCAGGTCTCAGTTTCTGTACAGTTGCTGCTGCTCCTTCATGTCCTGTCATGCTTTCAAGCTTACATCACACCCCAGAGAGTAGTGTTGCATCTAGCACATGCATACACAAACTTACATGAGTATATATACGCACAGGGAAGAATGTATGATGGGAAGTGGCATGTCGAAAACATGGCATAAAGTGAAGACACAGTGAGTCATGGGGAGAGAAGAAAGTTTGTAGGGGCATAAAAGCATGGGATGTTTAGAAGGGACAGCCTGAGTGATCAGTCAAATTCATATTAGGTCATTTTGAATTGCAATGTGAAATAACCCATTTACATTTTATCCTGGCAGAGTCAGAAAGATGCAATAATGGAGTGTGTTGGTAAAGCATGAAATGTAAGAAAAATGTGAAAATGTTTTGCCTGGAATAAAAAACATGACTTAAACTGAATGACCTAGGTTTTCTGCATTCACTCATGTTTTAGTTAAGCAAAGTTATGTGTCCAAAAGTGAGGTCAGAATTAGATTTGATTAAATTAAATAATGTTTTTTTTTTCTCTCAGTAGTATTTTTTTATATATTCCTGTGGTTTGAGGTGTATTCCAAGAACACAATGCCAGGACTCACTAAGGTCAATTCTTTTAAATTTACTTCAGGACAATTTTCACAGTAATCAATAAAAGTCTTCATCAAACCTACATGAAATAAAGTGCCGTAATAAAGTATAGGACTTTGTGATGACTTGACGTTTTAATGTATTAAATGGTGAGACAAAATATGTGTTCAGTCCGTTTATCTGCTCAGTTAAGGTTTATTAATTTGCAAGAAGTTACTCGTTGTTGCAATTCAGGCAATGTAAATCTTTATAGCTTCTTTCTTAAAAATATGAGTCAATACTTTTCATTAAAAATAAAATGTTTTGTGTTTATATTTTCTTCTTACATATTTTTTCTGTTCATTTTCTCCTCTCCTTGCAGACATGTTTCAGTACCTCCTGTCATTCTCTCAAGGTCACCTAAGTTCACTGTTGGAGGGAACCTACTCATCCCTGTCCCGTCAGGCGTTACCCCATGTGAATCAACTGTTTTCTTCTCTCTCGCTATACCTACGTGGAGCCAACATTTCCGTTGAGATGACCATTCACAAGTTTTTTAACAACATCTTCCCTCTCGTGTATACACGACTTATAAATCCAGGCATTGAAGAAAGTGTGACAACAAGCAGCACAATGGGTGACTGTCTGCGTATGATCAGACAGGATGTGAAGCCTTTCGGGAATCATCCTGTCACCGTGGCTCAGGAACTGGCTGAGGTGTTGGAGGCAGGCAGGCAACTGAGTCTCGCCTTGGATAAAGGACTGGAGGTCATTAACGCAACAGAACATGCCAACCTTAGTAGAGAATGTGTAAAAGGTCTTGCAAAGATGGTGTACTGTTCCCACTGCAGAGGCTTGACATTGATCAAGCCCTGTGCTGGCTACTGCTTGAATGTTATGCGGGGCTGCTTAGCAAGTATGGCAGAGCTCGATCAGCCTTGGAGAACATATATCAGCTTCTTGAAGAAACTAACTCTTGCGATGGCTGGACACCACAGCCTGGAGCTGGCCATGCTGGGTGTGAGAGGGCATGTTAATGAAGCATTGCTCTATGCACAGAGCCATGGTCCACTCATTACTGCTACGGTAAGTAAACACAAATAAAATATCTATCAAAAACCTTACTAGTTTGCTCCTTACTAGTAAGCTTTTTTTTTTTTGTATACTTCTTTGTTTAATCCTTTTACCTTCTTAGGGTTAAGTGTAAGAATTAGAAAGATATTTTTGGTTACTTGTGGTCTGTGAGAATTTTGTCCACAAGTCTTTCAAAAAAAGCTGAACACTGCCTTAATGTTGGTGCTGAAACTAATCCAAGAAAAATAATATTTATTCAAACAGAGCACTTTGCCAAGTGTTCCAAAATTGGCAATGCATCTTAAATTCATCATTGTTGTTTAGGTTCTGACAAGCACAATATTATTTGTCATTAAGAATAATGCAGTGGACTCAAATATCAAACCTCATACTTTTTGGATTTCACATGGTGTGATTGCAACCATATGCTTTATGTTATATGTGCCTATAACTCATTTTTTATGTTGCTCCCATTCTCACATGAAGACAGTTCTTGCAATGGAAATCCTACCGTTAAATTCACTGTGAAAGTTGTGCTTGTTATTTAACAATACATCCTGGATTCATATCCATGCACTCAGACAGAGTCATGGTTTATAGAAATAAGCAAACAAAAAATAAATTTTAAGTTGGCTGTTTCTTTTTTTACACCAATTCATCAGCCAGAACTTTCCATCCATATTCATCTTAAATTATATACCAGCATATTTTGTGTAGTATTTTCTAAACCAAATGCAATACAGAATTTTAGGTTGTTAGCAATAATCATTTTTAGATTTATTATGTCTGATTTAGTTTGATGTTAAAAAACAAAAAAAGTCAGTGCAGCAAAGGAGGTAATCGAGTGTTTAGAAACAGATGCTTCCTCTTTTTTGTGTTCTAATATATAACTTAATGTTATGTGCCAACAATGGCTCAGAAACAGAAAAACATACCCCTTAAGTCCATTTGTCACCCATCTTTAGATCATTATCTTTGAAACTACAGATTTATAAGACTAAAAATGTGATACCTGTAAATAGTTTGAAAAGTTTATCATTCCAGGCGGGTTTCTTGTGGTTACCACAAACCAAAAGAAATTGCTTTATTGTACTCCAATATTTTCATAAGGATGCAGTTTTTCTAAAAGTTACACACAAAGAAGCAGAATCCGCATAAAGCAGAAATCAGTATAAAAGAAAATATGATTCTTTAGTTAACTTGATGTTTTGCAGAGTGATAACTTATACTATTCACTGTAGGGCTTTACATCAAAACAATTTTATGTTTGCTCTTTACATTTTGAGGCTTATGAAGAATGTTGGATATCATTTGCTTTAAGGAACTCATTCTGCTGTGAGAGCATGAGCACAAGACAGAAGGGACATGGCCATATATATTTGGGGAGCCTTATGCCAAGTTGCCACAATTAAGAGAAAGTTGGACAGATTCCAGTAACAAAAAGTACTGTTATTGGGCCCTGGTGGAAATGGTGTTTAGCTATGTTTTCTTTCTATGAACGCTGACTTGTTGAATTCATTTTACAAAATTTCTATTTGCTGTGCTTGACAGGTCAGAGACCGCAATTTATTGACAAGGTGATAAAAATGTTATAGCTTATTTAACCTGAAAGGAAATTCAATATTATATGCTTGGTAAAGATTGCCAGAAATATTAAAATTTTAATATGGGAGGAAAACGTTCTCTTGTAGTTTCATTTAGTTATTGTGTGCTTATGAGCAAACCATAATCGTGGTGCAGCTTTAGGAGTTTATAGCCAGGTTTATGTACTCCACTCCTTCAACATCATTTCACTGTAGTCCAATACTGAGATACAAATAGAGGTATTGAAGTATCTGCAGACTTCAATTTTGAGATCTGTCCAATGTAGTCAATAGCATTCAGATCCGAGGTCATAAAAGGGCATCTAAAATTAGTCAATTAAGTGTATTTGATTTGACAGTTTTTACTGAGTATTTTTAGCTGTATGTTTTATTTTGATGGAGGATCTTGTTACTAAGGGTGAGTATTCTGATATAGGCAGTGTATTCGGTCCTAAGGACAAAAATCAAGTAAATGTATTCCAAATAGATAAAGCAATGCCGTAAAGTTCAGTTTATTTTACAAATTGGTCAAACGATTTTTGATCTAAGGCAACCGAGCAGATTACATCAATTCAATGACTTGCAGGATTCACTACTCATGGCCTTGCATATAGCAGCAGCGGAAAGGAAAACCTTCCACCATAATCTGGTTGAGTGTGAGCACCCATCTGCCAGAATCGACAGCGGATGTGAGATGACAGAGTAACAAACACACATGCGCGCACAAAAAAAGAAAAACACATTCACAAGTACTTCCCATGCACGTGTGAATCTGTGGACAGATAATAACTTAATTGAAGTTTTCATCAATTAAGATTTCTTCTTTTGTAGCGTCATCTAGAAGAGAAACACAGCTAAGCAGATCAGCTCTGAGGCATTTTTAAATCCATGAGATGAACAAGAGAACATAAGATCAACCAATAGGTACATCTGAAAGATGTTGTTAAATACTGAAAGACAGAGCCAAATATATCACCTATAAAATGAGAGCATTAAGTTGTTAGCAATAGTTAAGCCAATTAGCACCCTCCACAAAAATGCCACAACTTAGAAACATTTCTTACTCTATCACATTTTGAAGATTTGCAGGTATGCTTTAGAAAGTTCCTTTAATTAAATCCTTTCCAGGAGAAACTAAGTTTTACTTCAATGAGCAGTAAGGTTGTTAACATTAAATTCTTTGACATTTGTATTTTTTTCACGCTTGATTCTTCCTTTTTTTGATTAACACTGACAATCTAGATCTTGGAATTCTGCACTTTACTCACACTTTATTACTTTTGTAAACTTTATTTATTAGCTGATCTAGTTTTAACCAAATGAGATAAAAAGTCAATAAATTAATTGCCGTACAGATTTTGTCACTGAGGTCCTAATGTTTAATTTGAGTGTTTGCACATTTTGGTTCCATTTGTAATCACCCCTGGATATTTACTTATCAGTCCATTAGCTAATGATCGTAGATGTCTTCGGTCGCTTGCACACACTTGTCCCTGATCTGACCTTTCTTTTTATGTTTCTAGCCTGACCAAATTTGAATATTATGATAGCATGCAGGAGCCCTTAATTACAGTGTCCACAATTTTTCTTACACTATTTGTCTTCGGATCCAACAAGAAGTTGTGTAATACAAAACTGTTGTTTCACATAAAAGGAGGAGACAAGAAAAGATATGACGCTTTTGTGTATCTGAAGCAAATGAATAACAATTCTTTTATTTCTTGAAACAGCATAATGACAAAACCTGAACTTTGTTATATTGCAGCTTAGAAATTAGAGAACATAGATCCAAAATTATGACAGCTGCCTATTTTTACTTTTTAAGAGGAAGAACTTTGGATGTTGGTTCGAAGGTAGCAGCAAACAAATAAAAACATTACTTTTAAACTTCTACTTGCATGTATTGAATGGGGAAAGAATTACAGCTAAAATAGGACAAAGTTAAAAATATGAAGAGGAGAATGGATAACTTGATTTTCACTTGGAGAAGTAACAACAATCTGTTTAAGGAATAGGGTAATCTCTTCCTTTTTTTGGTTTATGTGGGCTTCAACGATCCGAGTGTATGTTGTCATGCATGAGAAAAATGCTTTTTTAAAAGTCTCCTTTAATCTTGGCATGATGATGTTGACGGCAGCTGTTGTAAAGTTAACACAAATGCCTAACACATCTGTGTTATGATTTTAGTGGTAACTGCTGGTGCATTGGAAGACTTCAAACGATTGCATGGATTCACAGTGTTTCTCTTCACGGACTTCTTTTTTTACCCCCGTATGTTCCGCAGTATCCCAGACAAACCAGATTTCATTGTAGCCCTTGTTCCTCTCTTTTTGAGACAATTCTCCCAACATTTGAAATTACCCAAATGTTTTGGCACATTTTGTTACAATGATCTTCACTCCAAAAAATTTACAAAACTGAATGAAAATTGCACGTCTCTTCCATATCTGAAATACCCAGTGGTCACATTTTCTGATCATCTGCAAATGATTTAATCAGGATAAACAAGCGTCAGCTTTGTGAGGGAAACTCGGCTTGCTTTTTTGCCGATTGGAATTTGCCCAGTGTGATATACAGGCAGCTGCAGCGCTCTTTAATTAGCCTGACTTTATTTGAAGGAAGAGAGAAATAGGCGGTGCGTGGAGGACTGCTTGACAGAGACAGAGTGATGCAGACAGCATGATTTAGAAAGAATGACAGAGACTCTAAAAAGGCAGCATTGAAGAAATGTCAGAGAGAGACAGACGGGGATAAAGGGCCAGAGGATTGATGTTGCAAGCTGTCTACACTCCAATCTTGAAGGTTTTCCAACTAAGAATAGGCAATAAATATTTTTCTGATTAAGTGATCTGAGTCTGATTGAAGCATTTAGATGTTTGTTTTATAAAGTGGCCTACTGAATTTTGGAGTTTTTTTGTAGTTAATGCAGTACAATAAAATTCACTGTCCCATCTCTAGATTTTAATCATCCTGTAAAGTTAAATTCTGGGCTAATGTATTCATTTAAATTCCACCTATAGTATCTTTATTATTAAAAGGGAAGTTATCTTTTTTAGAACAGACAACCTTTGTGATTAAAAGCATCCCTATATCACCACATACAACTTTAAAATATATTATATTTAAAATGTGGTCATGTTATTGGAGTTGCACCCATCACAATCTGCAAAACTTTGATCTATAGGCATCATCATTTGGTTTCTCAGAGTTTTCATAAAGAATTAAAAGTAAAGTGATGCAAAAACAGCATTCAAAAGATTATTTTTGGTTTGTCTGCCCTAAGAATGTTTGTGTGTGTGCTGTGTGAGAGACAGCAATTGCTGTAAAATAATATTGTACCGATGTTCAAAAGAAAGATTGCATGTTGTTGGAGTTCACATTACAATGTTTTTAGCATCCAGGATTGGGATTACTAATTCTAAACACCAA